AGGGCAAAACCTTGGCCAAGTTTCCTAACTCCACACGCCTAATAATAATCCCTCCAAAAAACAAAACAATAATAAATTGTTCATTTTCAATCCACGACTGTTTGTGTAACACTGCTGTGCGCAATTGGCTGCCGCGTTTCGCCCACAAATATACAGTCAATACACTTTACAGCATATTCTGTGAAGTGCTTTGAGACGTCTAGAAGACGTGAAAAGTGCGATATCAAATGCAAGATTATTATTATTATTATTATTACTGAAAATTTCCACCTCACCCAAGACCCTAAAAAGAATGCTTTCTCCTCAGCCATTTCAGAAATGGATAGACACAGGTTATAACAGTGATGGATTTTGTTTTTTTTAAATAATAATAGTAATCCTTACATTTGGTATCCTAGCCGCTAAAATAACTTTTTAATTTCAATATTTTACTTTTAACATTACTTTTAATTTCACCATCTGGTGAAGAAATGGGAAATCCACCCTCTGTCCATTTAAAGAATGGTTGATGGTAGTTAATGGTTAATTAAGTGACGTTTTGAGTGATCTAGCAGGTTATGGATTGAGTACTTGAAAGGTTATATTACGATTATAAACTAGTTTCATCAATTTAATAAGTCATAACCAATGGGTTTTACACCATAGTTTCAGAGAGCATAATCATGGTACAAATTGTTCTAAATGCCTTTTTCATTTAAGTCACTGATGTGCAATCTGTGTTGTTCATTGAATTATTTATCGGTTTATTCGAACAAGTGATTTGAATGACATTGAGCTTTAATAAATTGAAAACTCATATTCAGAATTACAGATGCCATTTCCATTGAGGTTTCTAAAACATGAGGAGCTTTGTTTAGCAAATTATCTATGAATCTTGCAGTGTTTGAAACATCAGAGAAGGTTCAATGAACCATTTATTGAACTACATTCTACATAAAAAGCCTGAAATTTCTCACACTACTAGCCTTAACACCTTTATCTTTAAACAGAACATTGTGCATAAATTGTGTTAAGAATTGCTGTCAAATTAATATTGAATTTAAGACTTTTCTAAATGTTACAATCTTAAATGTGAAGATAATAGCTAAAAGGCCAACAAATGAATCTCTGGTCTTTTTTTCATTTAGATATGCAACAAATTCACTCACAAAATACAGTCAATCCACTTTACAGTATATCCTGTGAAGCACTTTGAGACATTGAGACAATGTGCAAGGCACAAATGTATGGCTTATTTATTATAACTTCAACAAATTTTGATTTATCAAGCATTCTGTAAGTGATATCTATTATTCTTTGCACTGACATATGCAAGGAAAGGGCCCTTGAGGCATTCCACTCATTAAAGTTTGCGGTCAAACTTATTCCCGTTTTTACTTACTATATTACACTGTAATTTGGAAGATATATACACATTATATATTTGTGTAGGTTTATATAACTTACATTGCAATACACATATTGTGATTATGTCAATTTGTAAATGTTTGATGACAAAATTAGGATTGCCTTCAAACCATATGTCTGTTGATCATCTTTCAAGACAATCATAAATTAGAAACTTCTGACTCATGTAATGTAACAGCACATATATTAGTTTGTACACCGTTGGTTTTCACTGTTGGATACTGGCTTACTTTTGTTTATTTTTGTGCTGAGTTTATTTAGTAATCCGAGACCCAGTACTGAAATACCACACTCCGCAGGTATGCAAATCCAATGGCAGCCATAAGTGGTGATGGACAAATGTCTAAATGTAAATTCAGGAGTACAGAAATACTGTACAGTATGGTCCCTTTGCAAAGCATTTTACTATAATGCAAATTTGGTACAATTTGTTTGCTCTGTGGACCCCATTCATTGTGCATGCAGCTGACCCGTTGACTTCTCCCAGGCTGACTGCCAGGCTGACCCTAAAATGACCAACTTCAAATATTTTGATTGCCACAACTGTTATTTCCTGCTTTGTTTACCAATGCCATTTTCATCCAGCCTGAGGATTGGCTGGTATACAAGGAGCATACCCAGTCAAACTGGCTATCACAACTCAGTAAAGCACAGGTTGGAAGTTTATGGATTCCCACAACTACATTATAACAACCCCGTAGCTGCAGTGTATGCTTTTCTGTCTTCATAGTGCAGTTCTATGATTTGCATCATAAATTCAGTTTTGGGTAGGTTTGTGCAAATGTTACAAGAGATCAAAGTGCATTTGGCAGTATAATGTGCGGTGGAATATAAAGTACATCATAGCACAGCACTCTGGGTACACTGCAAAACTAGTCAGCCATGGAAGCTAAATTTATCATATTTCTGGTTAGCATGGGTCCATGGGATAGCACCTAATATGGAGGGCATGCTATTCAGGGATGCTACTCTGTCTTATAACAGAGTTGGACTATTTTATTCACCCACTACAATGTAGAATGTAATGTACCACTGCCAAAGAAATGATAGGACCTTGAAATATTCAAACAATATTTTTCAGCTTTGCAATACATTTATATTTCATTCTGTTGATACCATGGCAAGCAAGCTGATGGTATACAAAAGAAAACTGAGGAAGATGCATTATTTAAAGTTAGTGTGTCCTTTGCCCTACATGAAATAGATTAAAAGACTTTGTAAGATGACTTTGATGGATATGCAACTTTCATTTATGGAGGATTGAATGGTCCCATTGAACTACCAGCGGATTGTGTGACTATTTACTGCCTTTGCATTGCTGCCAAAATACCAGCAACAACTAAAAAGATGCACAGATTATCATGCACCTCCACATGCAGATGCCTTGGCACCGCAATCTACCAGATTACTATGATACTAGATTATTATATTACTATGTAATATGACAATTTATAAATAATAATCCTTGGATTTGGTACAGAGCCATCTCATGTTGTTAAAATGCAGCAGCAGCCAACTTGCGTACAGGAATATCCCACAAACAACCCCCAAATGAATGGGATCAAACTGGGATCAATTTCTATTCAGATTCCTTATTGGTGCCTCCGAGTTGAAACTTGTAACCTGACATACGCCGCACCAACCTGGGGGAACTTTTCTCCCTCATTGAGATTATAGAATGCCCTGCTTGAAATCATGGTTGAGCCGGAAACCAAATTAGCTTTTAAGAATGAATTAGATAAATATGTGAAAAGGTAAAATATAAAAAAGTGTGGAGAATGGAACTGTATGGATTGGTCTTTCAGAGAGCCAGCTCAGGCATGATGGGCTAATTGGCCTCCGCTGTGCTGTGTTTCTCAAGAGATTCTGGATTAAGTACAAATTGAATCTTAGATGCTCAGTATTTAATTATACCATAATGTAGCTCAGGTCAGTGAAGTCTGACTGATTTGCACTATATTCTGATCTAAAATCTGCTTGTGAAGAAACTTTGTTGAGAAAAGATTTACTGGGGCTCCCTCCAACAGCCTTGTTTCTGATACTGCAGGCAGGGACAGACTTGAAACCAATGATGCATTTTAAATGGAGTTTCGGTGACTTTTTAATGCAAGAGACAGAACAGTGATGACAAGTTCATGAACTTTTTTCTTGTTACTATGAATTCATCACCATAATGACCAGGGTTCCCGGATTCATTTGCTTACTGCCAGCAAACAAAGAGATTTTCACCCCATCAGTTCAGGTTAGATAAAGATGAACTCACTAAAGGTGGAAGAACCATTTCCTAACTCATTGGTTGGCACTACCTCCCCTCTGCACCCTCCTCTTTCCAATCCTCCCCTGGTGGAATCAATAACTTGGCCCGTTGGCCTACAAGATACACAGTCACAGCACTTTAATGCGTCCTCCTGATATGAAAGGGACTATTTCAAATGTAAGGTTATTAATATTCATACAAAAAAACATGCTGGCACAGATGGATTCAATAACAATAACAATTTACATTTAAACAGCAAGAAAGCATCCCAAAGCTGACAGTTGACCCGAGCTGGTGCAGAGAAGAGGTTGGTGGAAAGAGATGAGCGATAGCCCTGTCAAAAAGATAGATCTCAGGAGAGGTTGGTGTTTGGTGCACATAGCTACAGCTGTCAGTGGAGATACCACAGACCCCAAATTACTCATTATTAAGTTACTCTCTGCCCAGTGCCTTTTGGGTGAAAGTGGTTATTCATGATTACAGGCAAATCACTCACAATAAAATCATTACATTTTAAATCTTCTGCTACTTAATTAGCTTTAGAATTTGCACAAATTACTCACTTAGTTGCTTTAAGTACTTCAGTTCAGATTATTCAAGAAATCCCATTACAGAGAAAACATTCTCTATTTTTAGCAATTGGTGTATGATCATCCATGTGCTCAGTGCACGTCCAGTCCTACAACTCTGTAACATTTTCTGTACAATCATCCATATTAATGACCTCTTGAGAATTTCCAAATCCTGATTATTTAATTTTTTCAGCAGTGATTTGAACAGAAGCATGATTCACTTTCAAGCAAAAGAATGGGATCTAACTTAAATCAATTATGAAAGAGATATCTTAACAAAGGAATCTATCAGGAGTCCCTTCACCTTGCCCATTCCCTAGCCTCCTTCAAGGTCCTTCTCAAGACATTTGTCTTTGACTGCTTCTTCGGTCATATTTTCTCCCCCAACCGTCTACTCCCCTCTTGGCCCTCACCCCTCCCGAATCCGACCCCCAGCTCGGGTGCAAACCCTCGACTGTCCAGCACCTTGTGCCACCCTCGCAACGTGAAAGACAATATGTAAATGCAATTTGTTTTCTGTTGTTGTTGAATCAAGTCAGACCCACTTCTGGCACCATATGTGGATTCAGATAAATCTAGATCTATTCCATGAATCTCATGCAATTTGCAGGAACTCCTCTCTGAAATTAATAATGATAATTCTTGCATTGGTAGATTATGTCAGTGGGAATTTTTGCAAATTGGAGGGACATACATCTGGATTCCTTAATTAAGGAACCCACCTTCAAATTGCTGTCATTTACAATGAATTCCAGTCATCTCACCTGTTGTGGGAAGCAGGTTCGGACTGCGTGTTCTGTGTAGCCAAAAGACGGTCCCTCAAAAACAGCTGTAGGCAACTTAAGCACCTCCCTTAAGAATTGGTCAAACTTCAAGTATACCATCATCCCATTGGAGTCTGAGATCTGTGAGAATGTATCTGTAATGAAACAGATAGAAACACTCAGAGCAAAAGATTAGTAAAGCTGTGGTGCTACTTACCAAACTTCAATGGCAAACAGACCTGTAGTGCAGAACATAGGCTTGTTTGTTCCCACCCTCAAGCAAAGAGTTCATGGTCTCAGATAGCTCCCACAACAAATCCCACATTCAAATCAATTTATAACAAAAGTAAACCCTAAATGTGTTTTTAAAAGCATAATCTATAGTCTTTAGCACTCAGAAGGTCAGGCAGCATCTACAGAGAGAGGAAATTTGTCTCTCCATCGATGTTGCGTGACCTCCTGAATGTTCCCGACTACTTCTATTTTTATTTCAGTATGTCTTAAACGACGGAAAGAGCTTTCCCTAGACTGATGTCAAAGGGTGGATTAAATTCAGAGCTGCCATAAACTTAGAAGGGGCAACCCCCCCTGTCATAGAGTCCTGTAGCTCAGTGGTTAGAGCACTTGCCTTGCAAGCGAGACTCGGGTTCAATTCCCGGCAGGGCAAAACCTTGGGCAACTTTCCTTACTCCACACACCTGATAATAATCTCTCCAAAAAACAAACCAATAATAAATTGGTCATTTTCAATCCACGGCTGTTGTGCCCAATTGGCTGTCACGTTTCGCTCACAAATAAACAATCAATTCACTTTACAGCATATTCTGTGAAGCTCTTTAAGGCGTCTAGAAGATGTGAAAAGGGCTATACCAAATGCAAGGATTATTATTATTGTTAAATCCACTCATTAAAAAAGAATAATCTTTGAATTTGTTGCAGCACATATAACGTCAAAATGTTTCAAAGAGCTTTATGGTAATAACTGTGCATTTGTAGGTGAATGTGGCAGACAATTTGCACACAGTAATATGCCACAACCAGCTGAAGGTGAATGGCAAAAATCAGGAGAATTCCCCGAGAATCTGCCTTCTCCTTCCGAATCATGCCATGTGTTTTTTAATGTCCAATTAAGTTCAGCTTAATGTCTCATCTGAAGGATGGCACCTACAACAATGCAACATTCTCCCAACATTGCATGTTTATTTGGTCAACTGGGTATCTGATACATGTGGTGCCTATGGCATGGCCCTCCAGTACACCATCACCATGCGTAAGAATATCCAAACCAAAAAGTATTCCATGCATCCCACCTAAACATGGAAATTCCTGTGTATTGGATTGCTCACGCTCTCCCTGGAGGGATACATCCTGCTTACCTAATTCTGGAGACTATTAATAATAATAATCTTTACATTTGGTATACACTAAACTCCGGATAACTCGTCACTCCAAGTGAAAAAGGCTCAACGAGTTAGCAAGAGTGGTAGGATAGGCCACAAGGGGGCGACTGACTGTCACGGGTGTGCAGTGGAGGTTGGGCACCATGCCCAGAAATCATCGTAGAGGCTCTGGTCTATTGGAGGTGACAGGATAGTGTGGGAGGCGTGTCAGGAGCCCATGGCATACCCCTGTGGTCTCAACCTTCGCCGAATTCCCACACCAGTCACAAGATAGGGTGGGAGGTTTCTGCAATGCAAAAGGCTATCTTATAGGATGAGTTATCTAATCAACTTTACATTGCAAACAAGAATTTCTAGAACACGACTAGTTGCATGTTAAGCCAAGTGACAAGTATAGCAAAGTCCCTTATTAACATTTTGCATTGGAAGTGGCCGGGATATTGACACATGGCGACATAAGTGGTTGTGACAAGTTCTGCCAGGATCGAGTTATCAGGAGTTAACTGTAGCTCCTTTCATGTCAAGGGAATGTCCCACAAGAACATAAGAAATGCTAGACGAAAAAAGACCAAGGTCGATCTAGTTTGCCTTCCACCTTCCTGGCGGTCGCACGCACATACGTCCCAAACTACCTATATACTATATCCCATAATGTTATTTCCTAAAAGAAAACTATCAATCTGTGTTTGAAAGAATCAACATTTCCTGCTTCAACCATCTCCCTAGGGAGCCTGTTCCACAAGTTCACTATTCGCTCACTGAAATAGTGTTTGCGTAGGTTCGTTCTGAATTTACCCCCTTCAATCGCAGGCCATGTCTTCAAGACATTTCACAGCACTTCACAGAATATACTGTAAAGTGAATTAACTGTATATTTTGTGGGCAAATATGCCGTAAAGTACAGTGACTGTGTTTTGTGGGTGAAAATGGCAATCAATTTGCTCGCAGCAATGTACCACAAACAGCCATGAAGTGAATGACCAATTTTATTTGGGGGATTTTGAACATCAGGAGAAACTCCTTTCTCTTTTCAAATAGATCTATGGGATCTTTAACCACTAACACTGAGCTTTATAATTCCAATTGGAAATGAGAACTAAATCAATAAACTGAAAAGTTTTCCTGCAGTAATTTGATATTTGCATTTGAAATAAGCTTTTTTTCCTGACTGCTCTTAAGGATGAAGACTGAAATGGTTTCACTGATGCATTTCCAATCATTCCCACGAGAGGGCGGTCAAACACAAAACAGCTCGACAAAATCGAGACCTTTTTTATAAACTGAGACTCCACTGAATACTGAGGACATTAAAATTACATTCATCAAATAAACTGTTCCTTAACAGCACACCGCTTACTGCAAGAATAATATTCACCAACTTACATAATAGATAATTAATAAAACATAAAGCTAGAGTACTGTGTTCAGTGTACTGTGTAAACAACATAGCTGGAGTACTGTGTTCAGTTCTGGGCACTTTAGGAAGGATGTCAAGGCATTGGAGAGGGTGCAAAGGAGATTTACCAGGATGGTACCAGGAATGAGGGATTTCAATTATCAGGAGAGGCTAGAGAAACTAGGATTATCCTCCTTGGAGCAGAGAAGGTTAAGAGGAGACTTAATAGTAATTTTCAAAATCATGAGGGGTTTCGATAGGGTGAACAAGGAGAAACTTTTCCACTGGCGGGTGGGTTGGTAACCCGAGAATTTTTTTTCACATAGCGAGCTGTTTGGATCTGGAATACATTGCCTGAAAGTGGTGGAAGCCGATTCAATAACAGCTTTTAAGAAAGAAGTAGATAGTTATTTGTGGAGGACAAGTTTGCAGGGCTATGGAAAGAGAGCGGGGGAGTGGGATTGATTAGATAGCTCTTTTCAAAGAGCTGGCACAGACACAATGGGCCGAATGGCCTCCTTCTGTGCTGTATAATTCTATGATTCTATGATATCCTTAACTTGATTAATTTATTATTCTGATGTGAACTGTAAAACAAACTTATAGTTTACACGGCTAGACTATTATGCAGGGATGATCACTCTGGAACCTCTCACAGTTTCAGTACAATTTTAGGCATAGGGAGTATTGTCAGGTCTTTTATTGAGTGTGCGACAAACTATCGTGTCAGCCTGTCTAAAGTGGTAGCACTCTCACCTCAGAAAGTTGTGGGTTCAAACCTCACGTCGGCATTTTAAACTCACAGTCCAGGCTGATGTGCTAGTGGAATGCGAGGGTAGCTCTGTATTGTCACAAGTGCCATCCGCAGATGAGATATTTAATCAAGGTTATTATTAAGGTTACATCTGCCTGTTCAGGAGGACTTTAAAGATCCCATGGCACTATTCAAAAGAAAATGGAATTCTGTATCTTATCCAACATTCCCCAAGATAAAACTGGTCATTCACGACATGGTTGGTTGTGAGACATTGCTGAACATAAATTGGCTGCTGTGTTTGCCTACAAAATACACAGTCATTAAATTTAAGAGTGAACCCTGTGAAGCGATGTGAGACACCTGAACAACATGATCAGACACTATATCAAATGTAAGGATTATTGTTATGAAGATGAATAAATCTCTCAGTTGAAGTATTTTCAACCATATGGAAGACGTATCGATGCAAAGTGCTGAAACAATCCAATGCATCAGTGCATCAATTTACTGTTCAATTACCCTGCAAATGTAAATCATCTTCAGATAATCCAGGAGAAATATAGTTAAAAATAAACTATGCAAATAATAAAATTATTACGATAAATGCTTCTGTCTATAAACAATCAGGATTTTTTTCAGCAAGTTTCTTCTGTTTCATGGAAGACTTATGAACACCAACAAAGGGGTTTTCTTAAGAGCAGCTCCATATCTCTTCCAGCAATTCTTACTGTTGTAGCTAGTTTCGATGATGGGCTGAATGACATCAAGAAGAGATAGACATTGAACGAGTCTCATTTTCAGATGACTGCGCTCTGCTTACCAGTAGCAAACTCAATAATCCTTCTAGTAGGGGAGTCCTGTAGTGTAGTGATCGGAGCATTTAATATAGACGTCGAAACGTCAAAGGATATACTGTAAAGTGGATTGACTGTGAACTTGTGGGCAAAACACAGCAGCTAACCTCACAAAGACGACTGCTAATCTACTGGGTGATCACAACACAATCCCTAACATTCCTAGACATTTATTGGCTTTCTACTTACACCGCAGTTTGTCCAGAATTTTTCCTCCGCACATGGTTGCCAGCATTGCTTTGACTGAGAAAACGGTCAACTTCCCATGGCCCTCACTGCAAAAGAAATTTTAAACCCTTATATTGCAAATCAGCAACATTATCAAGAGAGACACATTGCAAAACTTATTTACAGCTGATAATATTTAGATCGTGGTTTAGGGTTGTTCTGCAGGCCAGTGCTATTTGTTGTCAATGTTAATTTTAGTAGTAAATTTTATTTCTGATGGACAAAATTGAACAGAGTATTTAAGAATATTGCGTTACCAATGCTTTGAGCTATTAAATGACATTTTTACTTATTTTCCAAGTGAAACACAGATGAGTTACACGCTTAAAATGCACAGCCAGTTTTTATACATACTATTTATTCAGCATTACTCAACTTAACAATTTTTCTAATGTATTTGATAACTGACTGTCATAATCTAAGATTTGATTTCACACATTAAACAGCCAAAATAGAGTCACATAATTCAAACTGATGTGATGTTGCAATGAGTACTTCAAACATAGGACAGCAGGCTTTATTTGTGGTACATTATCAAGAAATTGCCTTTCTTGTTTGTAATCGTAACAACTCAAGGATTACAAAATGTAATTTAGAAGCTGACATGTCATGGTTTACACAATTTTTAAACAACGCATTTTAAAGCCTTCTAACCAAAGCTTGTGCATGTTCCTTGATAAGGAACTTATTTTGGTGCCTGCAAATTTGCTATTTTTTTTGTGACACATAATTGAGTCGATGAATATCAGAAAATGTTTAAAAGAGCAAGACATGGGGGTACTTTACACACAATGGATGTTGAATCAATCATCCATGAAATAGGGCTACTCTAGTGAATGATGTTTATTTTATTTTGGCATCAGACAAATGGATTGCCATAATCATTTCCGTTTCAGTTCATTCCTATATTATTTTTGATGTTGAGGCCCTTCTTTACACCTTTAAGTGTTACTACACAGCTGCATTTGCACAGGACTCAGCATCTGCTGGTGTGCCGCACAGCAACATAAGTGCACTCATCAATGTCACACAGCAGTACTGCAAATATAAACTCATTATTTTACTTGGGCCCTAAGTTGGGCCCCAAGTCATTAAGCCTTGGACACCATAGTGCCTTGGGACATCCTCCCAACATGAAAGGCACCATATGACTGCAATTTGCTGTTGTTCAGTGCCCCTTGGTTTAGTGAGTGGAAATTTAGCCTGTGAGCTGCCGATGATCACTATTCAGAACATCTGCTAGAACATGTGCATATTGCAGATAAATTTGACTGTGGTGTTTCTATGGCTGAATAGGTTTCTGACAATCACTGCCTGAAGGAGGAAGGGAACAAAACGAGAAAAATTGATACAAAGAAGATGTATTTAATCTAAACCCAACAGGCAGATTGTGACAATTCCTTCCTAAAAGTCACAAACTGTGTCTTTGTGCTTATTTTTCCAATACATTGCAATTAAAAGCATTCATTGTTAAATCTATGACGATTTTTCTTAGGGAACAGAGACCCAGCAAGCCTCCCACCCATTCAACTCCTTCAACACACATGCACACACACACACACACACACACGTATGTAAGCACACACAGGCGCACACCCGCACACAGGCGCACGCACACAGGCGCACGCACGCAGGCGAACATACACATAATAAAAAAAATTCTAAAATAATCCTTGCATTTGATATAGCACTTTTCACATCTTCTAGACGTCTCAAAGTGTTTCACAGAATATGCTGTAAAGTTGACTGTATACTTGTGGGTGAAACACAGCAGCCAATTGCACACAGCAGCGTCCCACAAACAGATGTCGATTGAAATGACCAATTTATTATTGTTTTTTTTTCTTGAGGGATTATTATCGGGCATGTGGAGTAAGGAAACATACAGGCGCACACACACACACACGGGCACACACAGACTTGCCAGAGAAGGTGATGTAGCTGGATAACGATAAAGAACTCGAACCCAGTTAGTTTCCCCCTCTCTAACCTGCACCCTATGGCCAATTGTAGTGCTCTTAATGTTGTCTCGACTGACAACATCTAAAGTCTGAGGATTCAACCTGGGATCCTCCTGCTCTGTATGACTCACCAGCTCCCTCGAAAAAGACTCAGAGTTAAAGTTTGCCATCTCAGAGCAATCTGAAATGAAAACAACTGTTCCATCACAGATAAACAACAGAAACACTCAATAAAGTATGTTTCACTAAACCTACTCAACCACTAATAAATGAGCTTAAAATTTACGTTGGTTTCCTACTCTCTTCAAATTCTTCAGGTTATTTTGTAAAGTCTGCCCGAAACAACTCAAATGAGTATTAAAAAAGGTTCATTATGTTTTCAAAGGCAGATCCAGTTTACTCCTGTTAACTGAAGAAGTGTTGCATCAAATTATTCATTTTTATTCTGAAGCTCCACTGCTAATAAAGGTTTAGTTCAATTCCAAATAAAACAAATGTCTCTTTTACAAAGGAGAACTGATATTATTTTTAATTATTCTGTGCTTTGTGGAATTTCTTAAATAATACTTCATCACATAACATCTTAGTCACCCACAATGATTTTGATTCGCTGCCTGAACAAAAGGTATTGTAGCTAGAGAAATGGCCACTATTCTTTGTGCCATACTATCAGGATGTAACGTTAAAAAAAAATCATAACGTTACTTCGAATTTAGAGGAAGTGTGTGTGTGTGTGTGTGTGTGAGAGAGAGAGAGAGAAAGAGAAATTTATAGCACAGAAGGTGTCTATTCAGCCTTTTGTGTCTGTACCAGCTCCCTCAACAGCAACCCTTTCAGTCTCATTTACCTGTTTTCCCTATACCCTAGTAGCTGACTCTTTTTAAGGTATCAGTCTAGTTCCCTCTTAAAGGCCAATATGGATTTTACTTCACACACCACTCCCAGTAGGGCATTCCATGTCCTTATTACCTCATGCATGAAAAAAAATCTCCTAACCTCCTCATTTGCTCATTTAGTAACTATTTTAAATTGATGCATTTGATTATCAATACTCTTCATAATTTTAAAGAAGCTCATCAGAGTCACTCCCCAACCTTCTTTGTTCCAGTGGAAAACAGTCCCAGTTCCTCCAGTCTCCTCACATAGGCCAAATCACTCATTCCCGGTATGCTCTGGTAAATCTTCTCTGCACTCCCTCTATTATCTTGACATTTTTCCCAGTGGGGTGAGCAATACTGTACACAATATTCTAATTGCGGTCTAACTAATGATTTATATAAGTTTAACATTAAGAGAGAAAACATTTTTGGAACATTTTATCACACCAAAATATCTCAAAGATTTTCACATTTCCCTTTACAAAATTCACTACATATGAAAGGATTTACTACCAAGTGTTTTGAGTAATTTCAACATTGTAGACGCAAGCTCTTTTCTCTCCTTTATGACCATTTTGTAGGCAGTCATTTGAAGCAGCAGTTCCGGCAAACTACCATCAGATGTTGTGCTGTGTGAGGCGTGTGTGCTGAATACTGACCTGTCATACGCTGCTATCATGAAGTTGAGGAGCAGGCTGATGGATTGTTCCACACTGATTTGGTGAGTAGTTGGAAGGCGTTTGTTCAACTGGTAGTAGATGGATGAGATGATGGTCTCTAACCGGGATACATTGATTTCTGTGCTGTGGTCCAAAGTGTTGAGGCCATTGTCCCGGAAAGCTTCAATCATGTTCCATATATCAACCAGATGGACTGTAGGAGGAAAGAAAGACTTTTATCAGAGATTATAAAACATAAAGCTATGATACCCCATAATCTCAAATGTTGGAATGGTTTACTTATCAAAATTATACTTGCTCATCTACTTCACTCACTGTTGTCAGAAAAGGTATTCAAATACAGTTGTCATTTGACTGCATGGTTAGAACAAATTATTTTAACTTCTACTCTGTGCGCCATTTCTTCAAAAGGATATTGAGCCACTAGAGAGGTTTCAGAGAAGAGCAACTGTAAGCAATACCAGAATTTGGGGTTGTCTTAAGTTGACCAAAGAAAATAGCAAAGACTCATGGACCTGTTTACTTCAAAAAGGCTGATTATATGTTGCAAATGCATGGAATCAAGGACAAATGGGAAAATAATAATGTCTATATTTGATACAGTGCTTTATCACATCTTTCAGACGTCTCAAAGCACTTCACAGAATATAAAGAATATAAAGTGAATTGACTATTTTATGGGCAAAAATTGCAGCAGTCACGGATTGCGTGACCAATTTATTATTATTTTTTTGAAGGAATTATTATATGCAGAAAAGCGATCCACCAATCAACTAACAACCGGATTCCTACTTATTGCTAGGTAAACAAAGGTGTGTGGAGTAAGGAAACTTGGCCAACGTTTCGCCCTGCCAGGAATCAAATCCACATCTCTGCTTGTGAGGCAAGTGCTCTAACCACTGGGCTACAGGACTCCCACTCAAAACTAAAGGTTTTCTTCAACATGGAAGATAAAGTTTGTCCTTGGTTTGCAGTTGGCATTTTTAACAACACGTCGAACAGACTGGCGTACGTCACCCAAAAGAACCAAAGACTTTTGGGTTAAATTGGAAGAGCTGAGTTTTGGGAATGGAGTAGCTAATTTCAACCAATCTCGGGGAAAGAGGGATATCAACATGGATTGACGAACGTTAACAAGTCGATTCTTCCATGAAAGCCACTGCATCGGTCTGATCAAATCATTGCAGTCAACTGCATTAACCTGTTGTAATCATTAATTTGATTACATGAAACATATAACCTTGATATGTATAACCTTGCTAATCTTTGTGAGGGTGATGGGCTCTAGCTCTCTTCAACATCTAAAATCTCATGGTTCTCACCTCCTCCGCCAACCCGACCTACCCCTAAAACTCTCCGAACCCGAACGCAACCTAGGCGTCAGGGTCGACCCCCAATTATCCTTCCTCCCCCACATCTGGTCCCTCATCAGCACCGCTTTCTTCCACCTCCGACGCATCGCCCGTCTCCGCCAATACCTCTCTCCGAAAGCCGCTGAAACCCTGGTCCATGCCTTTGTCACCTCTCGGCTGGACTACTCCAACACCCTCCTTGTCGGCCTCCACTCCACTACCATCCATAATATCCAGATTATACAAAATTCTGCCGCCCGCGTTCTCACCCACACGAAACTCCGCTCCCCGATCACCCCAGTCCTTGCCAGACTTCACTGGCTGCCTGTCCCAGAGAGAATCGATTTCAAGATCCTCACCCTTGTCTTCAAATCCCTCCACTCCTCTGTACCCCCTGACCTCTCTGACCTCCTCTTTCCTCAAAACAGTGCACAGTGCCCGTTTACTTCGTTCCACCGGGTCTGGCCTCCTCCTCGTCCCCCAAGTCCTCCGCTCCACCCTCGGCGGCTGTGCCTTCAGCCACTATGCCCTGAGGCTCTGGAACTCCCTTCCTCACTCCATTTGCCTTGCCCCTCTCTTCCTGTTTTCAGGTCTCAGCTAAAGACCTTTCTTTTCGACCGCAACTTTGGTCACCTTCCTCTCCCTCCCCCTGGCTCGGCCCCGGGATCCGTTACTGTGAAGCGTCTGAGACGGCGTCCGGCCTGGAGGACGCTATATAATTCCAAGTTGTTGTTGTTGTTATGAAGCCCGGTGCAGGAGAGAACACAGGCTGCAGAGTTCTGGATGGTCTGCAGCTGTGTGTGGATAAACTGGGTGCCGCAGAAATAATCTACCCTGGACATGATGAAGGCGTAGATGAGGGTAAGTTTTTACTTGGAAACAGAAATGGAGGATATAGCAATAAAAACAACTTGTATTTGCATAAGTGGTTAGAGCACTCACTTCGCAAACGAGAGGACCTGGGTTTGATTTGCGGGTAGGGCGAAAGCTTAGGCAAGTTTCCTTGCTCCACACGCCTCTGTTTATCTAGCAGTAAGTAGGAACCTGGTTGTTAGTCGATTGGTGGATTACTTTTCTGGGGTAATAATCCCTTCAAAAAAAATAATTTGGTCACTCAATCCACGGCTGTTTATGGGACACTGCTATGCAGAAATGGCTGCCACGTTTCGCTCACAAAATATACAGTCAATTCACTTTACAGTATATTCTGTGAAGTGCTTTGAGACGTCTCGAAAATGTAATAAGGTGCTATGTCAAATGCAAGGATTATTATTATTATTATGATAGAGTAAAATTTTGGAATTATTTAAGAGATTGTGCCAGACACTGATCGGGTGAGTGACAATGCCAGCAACGAGTGTAAGTGGAATGAATAAATACTCAACAAGTTGCAGCGGTTGAGTGCTGCCCCACAGGGAGAGGAGTCATGTATCAGTGCCAACTTGACCATTACAGTAGAGTGGGGCAAGCAGACAGCTCCCAATTATACTATTGGCTAAACCCACTATCTCCTGGGAAAGTGCTGGAGAGATAATCTCCAAAACCTATAGGTAATCAAACTCAAGAATATTATTCATCCATCACCACATACCCACCCTTCAACTGTGACTCCATCCACAGACAGAATTTGCTTCCAACCCAGAAAAACAAGTTGCATCTATATAGTGCTCTTCAAATACAATAGAACATCCAAGAACTTTTGAGTGGAGGCGATGGATGCAGGGAGAAGGGGGAGGGCATGAGGGAGAGGTGACCATAGGCCAGCAGAAAAGGTAGGTTTTAAGGTGGGTCTTGAAGATAAAGCATGGGCCAGGTGGAGGGGGGGGTCACGGGAGGGAGTTCCAAAGATTAGGTGTGTACAATTGGAAAACTTGGCCACTGACTGGCATAACTAGAGTGGGGAACACACAACAAATCTGAGCAGATGAATGACATAGGCGATCGGAAGTGCTGGGGCTGAAGGGCTTGAGGATGAGGACCTTGAAATCGATCTGCTGAGAGATACACCAACAACTTGCATTTGTAGAGCGGCCTTCACACGGGGTAGTGTCCTGGAGCGCTTGACAATGACGGAGTTTGACGTCAAGCCAGGGAGAGAGGGAAGGGGCAGATGAACGTAAGCACAATCAAAAAGGACGGTCTTTAACTGGGATTTGAAAGTGGGGGGAGGGAAGGTAGCAGATAGTGGAATAGGGGGTAGGCAGGTCGGATAGGTAAGAAGGTGCGAGGGCATAAAGGGTTGAAAACGAGTGAGAGGATCTTAAAATCGATCCATTAGGTAATTGGGAACCAGTGATACCTGGCAAGGACTGGTGTGACGGGAGTACAGAGTTTTATGTGGGTGAATAATCAGGTGGCAGTGTTTTGGATTAATTGAATTTTGTGTATGGTGGAGCTGGGGAGACCAGCAAGGAGGGCGTTGGAATGGTCCAGCCAGGAAGTGACGAATGCATGGACGAGGGTTTTGGCTGCATTGGTTGTGAGATACGGACGAAGGCGGGCAATGTGATGGAGATAGGGATCCAGTGGAGTCTGGTGAAGAATGAGATAATGGAAATGCAGAGTCTGCTGCAGGTGGCAGAGGTTTGGGGTAACAATTGTATCACACAGTGCATTTCTTAATCTCAGGTAGGTTTTGCAGTCACGAATGGCTACTGCCAACAAAAACAGTCACTATGCTTGACTGTGAAGTGCTTTGAAATATTTTGACAAGTTGCTATGAAAATGCAAGTTATTTCTTTAATGCAAGTATTACTCACCTCACAATATGAATCATTGCTCTGCACAACACTTATTATAGGAAGTCCTGCTCTATTACTTGTAATGTGAAGCGTTGTTATAAGTATGAGGCATAACTCTATAATGAGCTATAATTCATCCCCCCCAAAAATTTAAGCTAAATCCAACGTTTGGATGTTGCAGCTCAAAATAGGAATTGGTAAAACAAGAGTTAAGCAGAATTTTTTTCTCTAGCTAAAGGAATAAATCACTATCTGGTGCAATGAAGGCTGACTCAGGAGACAGCTATTTAAAAAGGCACCTAGAGAGTTTTCTGAATCAAAAGGAAATTCATCTTACATCTAGATATAATAAACTACTGTATACGTAAATATTTTTGTGTGTAATAATTGCCACAGAAATCGCGTCACATTTTACCGGTATATTGATCCATTTCTATCTTCATTTATTTTAATGTGGGCCATCTGCAAATATGTCAAGCGAACAATCGTGGATTGAGTGACCAAATTATTATAGTATTTTTAAGCGAATCATTACCCCCGAAAAGCAATCCACTAATCAACTAACAACCCAGCTTCCACTTACTGCTAGGTAAACAGAGGCATGTGGAGTAAGGAAACTTGCCTGCAGTTTTACCCTACCCGGGAATCGAACCAGGGTCCTCACGCTGGTGAGGTGAGTGTGCTCTAACCAATACGCTACAGGACTCCCAAGTTGAATAGACTTTAATGGTTCTTAAACCAACGCCATGGTTATGCTCCTATCACTGTATGATAATTAAATGAAACTTGTTGGCTAGCTAAAATGGTTTCTATCCAATGAGACTGCTCCTCTTTGCAATGAAGCATTAATTCTTTCTACAAAGTTTCAACAAATGATTACAGCTCTGTACAGCAGGTCATAAATCTGCTGCTGGCGTCAGAAACCAGCTCAATGAAGAAGATTTACAGCATACAGAACTTCTGCTTTACTTGTGATACTGTATCAATTTAGCATTAGCCTCCTGTAAACAAAACACACGTAAAAATGCTTCATAAAAAGCATCACATTCCAGATATCAATGAGTTGTGCACATGCAGAGCTGTCAATTAGAGAACTGAGGGGAATCATACAGTTAACGTTGCATTATTTCAGGCTGATGCAGGCTCAATACCCAACAGCAGAAGTGGTCATTTTGAATGCAATAGCCTCGTTATATCAATTGAAAAGCTCAGCAAAATGACTGACACTGGGACTGCAGACTCCCAAAGGCCAATTCCTTGAAGTAAACCTCCACCCAGAGCTCCTCATCTCCACATCCACCTCCTAAGTCCTACATCTCCTTTATAACTCATCCGCCTGACTCTCACCTCTGTCCTCTCACTCCCTCAACTCAGATGTTAGTCGCCCCCGCCCCCCCCTCCCGCCAATCTGATCATAGCTTGTCCACTCGTCTTCTCTACATGCATACTTTGCTGATGCTTCATATCTAAACTCCCTTTATACATGATTATTTCTCCCTTATCTTTGATCCCATCCCTACATCCTACCCACCCAGCTCCCTTTACTTACCATGTCAGCTGACATCATCAGGTGCTGATCACATAGATCCTCTGAACATTAGGGGTATTGACCTGCTCATTCCAGCTCATGGAATACATGCAGAACCTTACAGTTTTGATTCGACTGTGCTTTAAAAGTTTCATCCAGGCTCTGACCAAGTGGGCTTTCCTCCATCTCCGCAACATTGCCTCTGGATCACTTGGTCTCTTACCACCCCCCACCCCATATGCAGCTAATAACCTCAAACTTTTTTTCTCACTTTGCAATTTACTGACAGAAGAGTGCACTTACATGGTTCTGCAAACATAATGACTTGTCCGCACAATAGGCATTAGCAAGAAATGTAGAGAAATGTGCTAAACATCTGGTACACAGCAGTTATTCTAATTTCCATTTGTCGCAATCAATGCAAGCTGCTGAGTGCATTTTGTCCCTTGCGGTGAACAGTGTCATTCAAGGGAATCCATTATCTTAAGCCAATAAGACTGTATTTGAAGTGCACAGTGATAGCATTGAGTCTATATGTAGCCCGTTGGTAAAACTCAAACTAGTTGGGAAGGAAATAAAACACACTTAAAAATGTCTCTGTGGATACGTTGGCACATTTTCACATCAGTGTATGATAGACAGGTGATTGTTTGACAACATTCAAATATTCAAAATAGACCAGTATGGAATATTTTACAATTCTGTTTCCATAAAGTACTAAATGTCCACCATCATGGACTACATCTCTTAACTATTGCACAGAACCACATGAGAGCCAACAGAATTTAATAAGTTAATTTGAATATTATAAGCTCAACATATACAAACCCTAATCAATGCATTTCTATTGCTATATTTATCTCTTGCATTGAGAATGTGTAAAAACAAAATCCAGCTCTCAAATACGTCAATGTCTACTACCACAGCATTTATTTTAGCCCGGTCACAAATTTGTCTTGACTCAGGTAACCAAGTAAACAAAAAAAACCATACATGACAGATTGTTTGACCAGCACACAATATTTTATTTCCTCAAAGCTAACTATCAATTCTAATTTGCAATTTTCGCAAAACAGATTTATTGCATTGGTCGTTTTGCTTGGCAGCATTTTTCCAACTTTGGCAATTTGGAACCTGAAATTTGTGGCCTGCAAATTTCACAATACATTCTGCAACCATCGCAAATAAGATCCCACTGTTTATACAGTGATCGCAAGTTTAAGGGCTCTAACTGTTATTCTTTTCTCTTATAAAGGTTATTACACACTTGGAAATGTAGACAATTGGATTGAAAAGGCACTCAATGGGAAAACAAATGAACTATTGACAGAAAAAATGTCTCAGGATGTAAAATCCATGTTTAGCATTTCGGAAGATCATAAAAGAAATTTGAATAAAGAAGGCCTTTGATCTTTTGTTTACATGACTGTTTGTGGGACACTACTGTGGCTGTCGCGATTCGCCCACAAATATACCGTCAATTCACTTTACAATATGTTCTGTGAAGCGCTTTGAGACATCTAGAAGACGTGAAAAGCGCTATATCAAATGCAAGGATTATCATTATTATTTGATCTCATCTTCCAAAATACCCACCCAATCACCTCCTTATCACAGTATCCATTTTTTTTTTAAATGAGGCTTCAACTACTCTTCCTGGTAACCAGTTCAAGTCATTAATTGCCCTCCAGGTAAATCAATAGTTAACTCCATTCATATTGCACTGACTTGAGAACTCAATGCTAACTCATTCCAGATCCACGAGGCATTTCTTAATCAGATACATCTAATTAGCTACCCACGTACAAGTAAGATTTTAGACAGAAAATTTCTATCTGGTAAAAATAATTCTTCAAAGAACTACAAATGTGCTATTTATCTCTCCCTCCAATAATAAAAATAGCTGCATTCGAAGGCAGTTTGAGATCCGACCACATTATATGAAACAATATCAACTCTTTGTAAGAATTATGTAAGTGCTCAAATTTGGCGCAGAACATGGACTCAACTTTGTTTACTGATATGGACAATTTTGACTCCGACTGAAGTGGTTTGAAAATTCTAAACAATCTGCTACACAATCTCATTAACTATCAAGTAGACTGAACATAGTTACAACCATCATTAAATCCATCCTGGAGGCAGAGGAAGTTCTCCAATTCCTCAGCAGGTGAGCATATCTTACTCTCCGGTGGGCTACAATTTGTAGAACATCCAAGAATTACACCATTGTTTCCAGCATTGTTGCTGGTTTTGCTTGCAGAAATTGTTAGTACCTGTAATGTTCTTTAGTCTGCAAGCATCTGGTAGCAATTTCTTCATCTGATCAGAGTTTGGTGGTGGGGTATGAGACCCCTCAACAATCCAGTGGCCACAATACTTGGTGTGGGATAATAGTGAATCCCTGGGGGCCAGTGTTCTGTTGAGGTGTTATGCTAAATAGACACAGATCCCAAGTCCTGAAGAAACAAGCAAATCACCTGCAGGGACTATTGGCTGGGCAACTGTATTAAAAAGCCATTAATTTAATATAAATTTATCTTGCACTGAATAGTAGAACCAGAGGAACATGTCCTGATATTGAATGGGGATAAATTCAAAACAAACTGCGGAAACACTACTTCAGTGAGCGAGTAGTAAACATATGGAACAGGCTCCCTAGGGAGATGGTGGAAGCAGAAAGAGTTGATTCTTTCAAGAATAATTTAGATAGATTTCTGTGAGGAAATAATATCTCGGGATACAATATATAGCTTGGGATATGACAAGCGAGTGCCAGGATGGTGAAAGGCGAACTGGATAGACCTTGGTCTTCTTTTGTCTAGCGAATCCTTATGTTCTTAAAATATAAACAAATAGACTGACTGCACATTGAGGGTTAATTCTATTTCACCGGCAGCATTTTAGAAACCAGAGGCTCAAAGCTTTAGCGAACGATCAGTTAGGAACCCCATTGTTATTGAACAATTTAATGTTCTATTTAAGGTCATATCTGAAAACATCAACTGCAGTTTGGCAAGTCTCGAAATGAGTAATCTTTGGAACGATGAGAAAGAGGGTGGAGAGCAGCTCTGCAGAGTAGGGTGTGGGAAACAAAACTTGGATAGAAATCAGAAGGAAAGAAACCTTTTTTGTAGAAAGGGATGTAGAAATGGAAAAACCTCCCGACAATGGCAAGGAGGAACAAGACAACACTAACACATTTGTGGCTGAAGAGTGTGTTGAAAATGGCCAAATAAACATATGAAAGAGACACCAGGAAACTAACCATAACATGTGTGTAAGTTCATTGGGAATAACAGATGGAGATGCAGACTGTTGCTTTACCATTGTTGTCTTTCTGGAAATGGTAACTTAATGTCCAGTTCACAGGATAGATACACTTTGGGTGTATCATAGAAAGCAGATGTCGAGATGTGCAAATAAAATTATAAGCTACACGAAGAGTACAAGACCAGGGAGATCCGTTAAGAAATTGATAGGAACAGGGAAAGGAGAGGAGTTTGATAGTATCTTCATAACTGACCCAATAGCCAAATTTTAGAATTTCTCATTTTAAACTCAGAAATGTAAGATACAATGGGGAAAAAAAAAGTAGTGGTTTCCAACAGGATTTACTAATAGCGTCTCGCTAACAGAATCCGGTAACCAGCAGAACTTAACAAACAATTTATCTGGAGGATTGCTGGCTGAGACATGAGGAGTAATTCCTCTCTTTTCAACTCCTGTCATTGTAACTTTAACATACACTTGTACAAGACAGGACCTCAGTTTAACTTCTCAACTTAAAAACAGTAACACAGCACTTCTCCAGTCAGCTTAGGCTGTGAGCTCAAAGTCATAACGTGGGGCTTGAATCCATTCGTTTCTGACCCAGAGCTGATGCAAATGTAAAGCAAAAAAATCAAATAAAAACAAACTAAAAAATCTCTCACATGCGCATGAAGGGCATGGTCAGGGGAGTAGGGCACAGAGATAGGATAGCTGTCAAGACATTTGAAGCTAAGGCAGTATACATCTAAAATCATGTACATGAGTTTATGAGGGAAAAATCAATGCATGACACTGTACATATCTTGGGATGGAATGAATTGTTAAATGAGCTAACTGCACTAGAAATCCTGAGAGAGGTTCAGATCAAGGAAGCCCTTTAACCCATCTGGCCTCATAATTCCGGGCTGCTAACCATACTGTTCTCCCAAAACAGTAAGATATGTTGAAATTAAAGGGCATGAGGAACTGTGCATTATCTCAAGCCTTGGAAATTTCAGGCAAGAAACAAAAAGGAGTTGAAGTTTTTGCATCCAGCGGGAAGTTGCTGTTGCTAAAATTTGATCGGAGGTTGCAGTTTAAAACTTTTAATCTATGATCTTCTTAAGCCTTCCTGAGCCCCAAATCCTGTCTAGGAAAACCGCTGGGTGCTTTGGTGTTTTACAAAACAAACACTGAGAAATGGTTGGTGCGTGGCTAACACTTACGATTACATCTCTTCTGGACAAATCGCAGCTTGCATGCTGTCCGATAGGTCGAAAGACGGATTACATCATAATTTTGGGCCCCTAGAAGGAAAGAGTACACACGAGTTAAAATACAGAACATCTGGTAATAATATGAAACATCTGGTGATAAAAGAATGAACGAGATCCCCAACAGAGCCTGGGATCAGCTAAGTGGAAAACAATCACTTTGAAACCTGTGGGGTTTTTTTAGATGAAATAGTATATTAAAAAAAATTAATCTGGAGACAGTTGTAGTGCAATGGAAGAAGTGTGAAAAGAGACAATGATTAATGGGATATGAATCTCTTCACAAGATTATAAGAGAGGTTCCAGTGAAGAAGGACCTTCGATCTTCCATTTGATCTCATTGCTCCACAATGCCATCTCGATTAACTCCTTGAACATATTCAAGACTGAGATAGATTTCTTATTGCAAAAGGGATTACGGGATATGGGGATAAGGCAGGTTAGGTTATTAGCTGGAGTTAGATTAGAAGATCTGCCATGATTGAATGGCGGGGCAGGCTTGAAGGGCCGAATGGCCTACTCCTGCTCATACACGTTATGTGAACTTCCCATTCGCAGAATTAAGCAGTCACTTAAATAGTTTAAATGATTTTAGCTAGAAGGTGTAAGACATGAAGTAGTCAAATGCGGCAGTTATTTTGCTTGTAGCAATATCCCATAAATAGCTATGAAGTGAACGATCAATTTATCTGGAGGAATGTTGATCAGCACATGGGAAGAAATTTCCTAAGTTTTTCCAATAATTTAAAGAGATAAAAAAAAAGCAGAAAGAACCATGATTTAAAGTCTTGTCCAAGGGACAACACCTTGGGTAAATGTTCCCTCATGATTGTACTTGAGTATCGTACTGGACAATGTCTTCAGGTCCCAAGTTTGAACCCAAAGTCGTCCAATATAAACTGGAGTGCCTACCAACCGAGTCAAATTAACACACTAAACAAGTGGAGTATCCAATCCATCCCGTTCACATGAATTTTTAGATTAACAAAAATTGATTAAATTAAAGATGGATTAATGACAAATTAACTAGCTGGATTGAAAAAACGTTTTAGCAATCATAATGATAAAATAACAATCATCCTTATTGGTATTCCTAACCTTCAACAGAGGGAGCAAAGAAATGAAAGCTCAATACAACATGGAAAATCTGAAACACGTAATTTAAAAGGATGGAACAGTGTAAGCAATTTCACTGACAATTGTGGGCAATGCTGACCTGAGAGCACTGAGATTTAGCACAGAGAATCAACCTGTGTGAATTACGAAAAGACAGAAATTAAATAACAAGGCAAGCAACAGAATTAAAAAGTGCATTTAGCCTCTTAGTCCCCTTTAATAATACATTGGTTGCCAGAGTTTATCAGGTATTGTATGACTTTTGTTTGCAAGGATATAAACTTTTAATTTTTAATGTAAGAACAAGCAATGTGAATTTATTGTGCCCTAAAGCTCAGTCATACTGTGTCAGAGAAAAGCAGCATCTGCATCTTTCCAACATATCTCATAGAACATTATTCTGTGCCAAAAGCTGAAGACAGGCAGCTGCGGGGGGAGCTTTGCCCTGGAAGCTCAAGTTCTACTAATCATTTAATTTTTAAGTCCAGCTGATTCAAAAGGGTCACCCACATCCTCAACTATACCAAACTCCACACATCCATCAGCCCAGCCCCAGCCAGACTCCTCTGACTCCCTCTACCCCAACAGATCAACTTCAAGTACCTTCATCTGTAAATCCCTTCACACCCTACCACTTGCCTATCCCTCTCCTACCCATTTCGCCCACAAAATAGTGATTTTTATTTTTATGATATATTATAAAATACAATGAATCCACTTTACAGTATGTTCTGCGAAGCACTTTGAGTCTTCTCAATGACGTGATAAGGCCCAATATCAAATGCAAGGACTATTACTATTATTATTACCCCATTCCTCTGTCTCCCTCCTACGTTCAGCTAACTCGGGCTGCTGTGAGCTTGCCCACTACCACTATGCCACCATTAATGACCGAGCCATCAGGCACCACACCACTAACCTCTGCAAATCTCTCCTTCTATCCCTCTATTTCACCCACTCTCCATCCATTTTGAAATCCTGCCTAAAACCTACCTCTGACAATGCTTATGGTAACCGCCTTCCCCCTGCTTGGAAGGATCCAGCTTTACAAGTCTTTGTAAAACACTCCGAGACATTATTCTATGCGAGTGGTGCTAAATAAATACATGTTGTTGTAAATTAATTTCAAGTAATTAAGTAAATTATATCCCTTAATGTATTTTTATTGTTAATTATCAATCGTAAATTCCTTAAACAATAATCAACTGTCTTTTCAATTTATTATGAAATATGATCACGATTATCTTAATGGACTAAATCATCAATGACTGCAAACACAAATTTATAACAAGCATTGCAGGCCATAAGCAAGAACGATTGGTTAGAACATCACTCAAGCCAAACAAAACAAAGTAATTATACAGCTCTTTTCAAATAGGATAATAATAATGATCCTTGCATTTGATATAGCATCTTATCACCTTTTCTAGACGTCTCAAAGTGCTTCACAGAATATGATGTAAAATGAATTGACTGTACATTTTGTGGGCGAAGCGCCATAGCCAATTGCGCAGAGCAGTGCCCCACAAACAGTCATTGATTGATAACATTGTGAAGAACTTTGGAGAGACAGTATGCATCACTGAGCAAGGTTTGAGGGATTACAAGGTTCGGGCTGTTGACTGAAGATTTGGACAAATAATTTTAGAAGGATTTTTAAGGCAGGGTGAGAGGACACACATACAAAGGGATTTGGGGAGAGAGTTCCGGAGAACTGGGACAAAACGGCTGAAACTTGGCCACCAACTAAAGGATGGAGTGGGAAGAGGGGCATGCAAAAGAACAGAGACAGATGAGTGGAGAGTTTGAGCATGAGAATGAGGCTGGAGCAGATTCCTGATATAGAGATAAACCTAACCCTAAGCCAAGAACTTGAAAGGATTTGAATGTGGAAGTGCAAGTTCAGTACAAAGTGGAAACAGAAGTTATCCTTCACATCTCCAGATTAGTTTAGACGAAGAAAGCCCATCGGCCCATCAGATCTTACATCGCCAAGCTGTTTTTTAAGTGAGAAGCTGCCTTTTAATATCATCCATACAAAGCAGCAATGGTGCTGCTTTGTACTTAGTATAAGGGACCCCCATTAGTGCCCTTCAACATAGTTCTGCCTTGCCTGTAGCCTTGGACCCACACTAACAGGACATTTAGTTCACCTGGCTTCTAACACTGACTAGCTGGCTTCCTGCATTATAAAATGAATTGTGTCCAGGTCGCTGCAAACATCACTTCCTGCACATGTATATGTGTACCACATACAGGAGTCCTGCTGCAGTCTCATCACAAACAAAGTGACATTAGTGGCAACCTGCTGACTCACCATCAGACATCTCTTCCCACCTCGATTATCACAGGACACCTGAGACCTGACACCAATAAATTGAACAGTCAGTAGAGCAATGTGAGTGGGAAAAGGGACATGCAAAAGAACTGAGATGGATGAGTGGAGAGTTTGAGCTGAGAAAACATTTCTTCACTCAGAGGGTAGTGAATTTATGGAATTTTCTACCCCAGAAGGCTGTGGATGCTCAGTCATTGAACATATTCAAGATTGAGATCGATAGATTTTCAAAAACTAAAGGGATTAAAGGATATGGCGGGTAAATGGAATTAGGTTAGAAGATCAGCCATGATCTTATTAAATGGCGGGGCCGAATGGCCTACTATTTCTTATGTTCTTATGCAAGAGACCAACCGTGCTACGATGAGGTTTCCTGTAATTTCAGCTCTCAGTGTAGCACAGCATGCAATTTCATAGAGAATACATTTTAGTTAAAAGATTCAGGAGGAATAAGTCAGTGCTGCTGAACTGAAACATTGCAGATCAATAGGCCCGTGTTTAAATATGCAAGCATTTATTTCCCTTCTGAGTTATTTAGTGCATTGACTTTTACTGCTATTCAACTGGCCACCTAATGATCTGCTCCATTTAATCTGTGAGCTCAGCACAGAGGGCTGTGTTCTTTATTAAACATACAAGAGGACATCGAACATCAGCCAAGCTCAGCTTGTTAAAAAGATCTTAATGCCATGAATGGGCATTGTTGATGGAATCACTATTGCAATTACCATGTGTAAAATCCACCATTATTTTCCCAAGATAACTGTGGCAATACTTTCAAGTTCATCAGCAAATTCTTAAAATATGAGCAGAACAATAAGCTTTAACTGCTCAGGAACAAACCCATTTTCTCGAATTATCTTAAAAAGCATTGCACAAAGCTTTCAGTGAGCAAATGCATTGCATGGTATGCTACTGAGCTATAAACATCAAAATGTTCCAAGGTTCAAAGTTTGGTCTGTGCTTCACTGGTTGATATCTTTGGGTGGCGTTGAGGATACTGGTGGCCCACAAATATACGGTCAATTCACCTTACAGCATATTCAGTGAAGCGCTTTGAGACGCCGAGAAGACGTGAAAAGTGCTATATCAAATGCAAGGATTATTATTATTATTACTGATTTTCATGAGTCAGTTCATGAGCTGGGCTGGCGTGGAGTCCTGTAGCTCAGTTTTTAGAGCACTCGCCTTGCAAGCGAGACACCTGGGTTCAATTCCAGGCAGGGCAAAACCTTGGGCAAGTTTCTTTACTCCACACGCCTAATAATAATCCCTCCAAAACAAAAAACAATAATAAATTGGTCATTTTCAATCCACGACTGTTTGTGGGACACTGCTGTGCGCAATTGGCTGCCGCGTTTCGCCCACAAATGTACAGTCAATTCACTTTACAGCATATTCTGTGAAGCGCTTTGAGACGTCGAGAAGACGTGAAAAGCACTATATTAAATGCAAGGATTATTATTATTATTACTGACTTTCATGAGTCAGTTCATGAGCTGGGGAAGGGAGGGAAGTGGAGAGGAGGGAAAGGTGCTCTGTTTATCTAGCAGTAAGTAGGAACCCGGTTGTTAGTTGA